GGGGGGGAACTGGGTGCATTTGAGGTCACCTTGAAAAATATCTCGTAAAAAATGAAAACACCAGACTGGTTCAAAATAAACGCAATATTTGCTCATGGGATAGAAGTATCGACTTTCACAGTAAAAATCAGGGAAATCGGTGAAGGTCCGAAATTTGCACTATCCGTTCTTAGGTGGACAGCCTCTTAAAAAGCTGTTGAACATCGTCGTCATTTGGAAAATATAGCGACGATTGTTGGTCTTAAAAGTCATGGCTACGTCTGAATTCACAAAACATCTTTCCCATCTATTACCCCTGCTATAAACTGGTATTGTATTCCTCTGAAAGATTACCGCGTGAGTCCAATAAACGATACCCGTTCCGCGGCTACTTTGAATAAAACTTTTAGTTGAAGGATGGTTTTCAGTTGTCCGAAAACACTCAAACTCGTGCATCATACGTATTTAATACCGCAGTTGAAATATATGAACCTCATATGTTCAATGTAACCAAAGTATGATTTTATTAGGCAAGATCAGTGGTCGGAGATTTGATTTTCATGCTTGCCGACTTTTTAAAATTTGAGGACCGAGTAACTGATTAAGATATCAAAACTTGTTTGCATATTTCGTCTCAGATCAGTAACAAATCATCGATGCACACTTCACATATTGAAAGGAGGAATTTTGAGTCAGATTTCATATAATTAACTCTACTGAAATTGACTTTTTCGAATACATTTAGTTGCTATTTGTAGCCATCGAAGATCTTAAAATGGCGAGATCTTAGCAGTAGGGCCAGCATGATATATGATCGAGTTATTTTAGCTTAGTACGAGACAAACCGAAATGTTACAAAGTAGTATTTGTATTTATAGTGCCACTGATGATAGTAACAATCGTATATGAATACTTCACATCTCTTTGAAAAGATGAGTTTTGAGTCAGACTTGAATTAATTATGCTGAATGTTGTAGAAATTCTAATGGAAATTAATTTATTGCCAGTGAATATCTAAGGATGTTTAAGAATCCTAGCGTTGCGGCTGGGGTGGTTGTCAAGTCATTTTATTTTTGCCACGAGATGGGAAAAATGCGTTATAACTGATCATTTAAAGTGCTTATTTGACTTGGATCACAAGTCATCCTCAACAAAGTTCTTCAGTTCTA